TACCGATTCCAAGCCAAACACATTCACAGATATATTGTTCATTTCTTCGAATTTGGTGATGTCTTTTAATTTTACAGGGAAGACTATACCGGTGAAATTAAGCAAAGTATCGTAATGCGGATATGAACTTGTTAGTGTAGGATACTATTTGCGGAGGAAATGGTCGCATTAATTGACCAAGCGAAACACGCATTGTCCTTATTTTGTATATTTAAAACTGCTTTTTTATTTTCAACACATCTCGGTAATTTAATATAGGTTGCCGCTGACATTGGGATAAACTTGTTCATATTGACATATAGGAACATGATATGTTTTAATGTACATCCTGAGTTTCATCTGGAATTCAGATGCTTGAGAAGTTATTTCTTCTATAAATTCCTCGAACATTTTTTGTAGATCAGTTGATCGAGTCACTACTTTATTCTTAGTATTGAAGGACTTGATATCACTCATTTCTTTCTCAGGTATTACATAAAGCCCAAATACCTCAAAATTAATCTTGAACGTTGTAGGCTTTTTCTATTTTTGGCCTCACTTCATCCATAAATATTTTTATTATTTATTTACAGTTATTCTGAATATGTCTGTTTAAGTTAAACATTGTTGAAAATTTTTTTCCACAATGTTCACAAATAATGTCTAATTTTGATTTTTTATTTGATGAACCTTCTTTATACAGTCGGTGTAAAACCGGACAATACTCGCAAACATGTCGAGTTAAATTGTATTTATTTGAAAAAGCTTTATTGCAGTACTCGCACTGCATTGTAAATAAAACTGAGGAGGTGATGCATATTACTTCGTTTTATACCCTGACGCCTGGTACGCCGGAAACATCTGGCAACCAGATGGTGTTATTTTTAGAAATGATGTAATGTTCTATTTTTAGAAATAATGTAATGTTCTATTTTTAGAAATGACATCTGGCAGCCATATGGTAGTACTTTTACGTATGATGTAATGTATTTTTAATAATCAGTGCCCTACGGGCGTCTGGGGTCTAGGTCACCTCAAGGTCGTGTCAAGGTCATAGACCTCTGGTCATCTGGGGTCAAGCTTACCTCAAGGTCATGTCAACGCCATCGACCTCTGGTCGTCGGGGGGGGGGTCAAGGTCATCTCAAGGTCACTTCAAAGTCATCGAGCTCTGGTTGTCTGGGATCAAGGTCACCTCAAAGTCATGTTAAGGTCATCGACCTACGGCCGTCTGGGGTCAAGGTCAGCGACCCACGGTCGTTTGGGGTCAGGTCACCTCAAGGTTACCGACCTACGGTCATCTGGGGTCAAGGTCACCTCAAGGTCGTCGACCTCTGGTCGCCTAGGGTCAAGGTCATGTCGAGGTCACCGGCCTCTGGTCGTCTAGGGCCAAGGTTATGTCAAGGTCATGTCAAGGTCATCGACCTCCGGACGTCTGGGATCAAGGTCTGCACATTGCACATGCTCCGCTCAGCTCTCTCATTTGTACACCTATATTCCTTTTTAAAATCATAAATAACACGTTAAATGCAGACTCGTTAGTCTCAAGGATTTTATATCATGTTCCTAGACTTAATTCTAGATTTCATTCCGTTATATTGATATATACAGTGTATCCCACCGGGAATCGCCGCGATCGATATCTGGAAAAGTACTTATTTGAAAAATTTGAAAATTTGGCAACTTATCAGTCAGTGGGTGCAATACAACTAAAATATTTTCAAGGTCATAGCACTTCCGGTTATACCGGAAGTCGATGCCATCTTCGTCATTTTAAATGGAACACCCTATATATTTTTGCATTTTTTGAATTCTACTTGAAATTCTAAGGTTACTTTGTATAACAAACTTAGTTCCTAAAATTTGTAGTTTTTGAGATATTGACATTTTTATGAAAAATTTGACAGGTGCGAGGTACTCTGTATTTTATTCCAGCAATTAGATATCAATTTGAGATTCGGTATGTGAGTAGAACACGTATGGAACAAACTTCTACAATATCCATAAATTATAAAATATGATGCCGTGTTTAATTTTCGACTGTACATTTTGATAACTTCAAAGAGTTATAACTTTGTTAACTTAAATGGAACACCCTGTATTTTTTGGCCTATCTTGTGCAGAAATTAATTATCTTTAACGTGATGTAGGCGTTGTAGGGGCTGTGGTTACTAATTTTAGAGATAATTGCAATTTTTTACTTTTTTTTCAATTTTCACGGTAACTTAATTTTACCAAAGGGTCTATGAGTAGGAACAATCGTTGTTGACAATCAAACTATTAAACAACGAGTTGTCAAAGTGTGTAGTATGTTAGTTTGTCTTTTTCTTTAAAATTTAGTTAGGGTTTTCTGTTTTACCTTATCCTATAAATGGGACTTTGTCCCGTTGGATATTGTAACTTCTAAATAAATAAATAAATAAATATTTTTGGCCTTTTAATTACACAACTTTTTTCTAATTTAACAACATTTATATCTCTTATAATAGGCGAATACCTAAGTGAGCCTCTTAAATGGCCCACCCTGTATAATATTTATTCATCAACCATTATCGTGAAAATGGTTAACTTCTCGAAAATCGTTGATGAAAGAATAATTTTATTTTCACTTCTCACTTACTACACTACTTTTCACTATTAGTTCTACAGGGTTCCTTTAGACCAGGGATGCACATACCGCGGCCCGCGGGCCGCATGCGACCCGCTGTCGATGTTTATGCGGCCCGGCAACGAATTTTAAAAATATTCTACTAGCCGCGCTCCGGTCCAAGCATATTATTACGAGACTAGAAGTGTGTCGCATCAACTAGATTACAGATTCGCGAAACACGTCGATCCCCGAACAAAGTGGATGGTTCTCGATGTTTGGTAACTCGTATAAATACGACGCATCGCCGGCTACCGGGGCAGTTAAGTTTTGACTACGGATAAGCGAACGTTATACTGTTTGAGAACTGTAATCTGTGACGAGTAAATATTTCGTCGTTCGAACTTGGCTTTTACCGACTGTAACATATAATATTAATTTTGATATGGATAAACCAGGCCCCAGTAAGAAACGTAGTCGTAAGGTTGAAGATGAAAATCGACAGTTTCATGATATTTGGACCGAAAAATACTTTTTTATTTCATCGCATAACAAAATTGTCTGTTTAATATGCAAGAGTAGTGTTTCTATTCCGAAGGAATATAATGTGAAAAGGCACTATGAAACCCAGCATCCAACTTTTACCAAATTAACTGGCGAAAATCGAACGCAAAGAATTTCCACTTTACAACGGGAACTAATAGGCCAGCAATCTATGTTTACAAAACCAATTCAAGATGCTGAAACAGCCACTGAAGTTAGCTTTGAAATATCTCGAATAATAGCGAAAACTTGTCGGCCTTTTAAAGATGGTGAGTTTGTTAAGCAATGTTTGGATATCGCCGCAAAAAAAATTTGTCCGGAAAATGTAAAGAAGTTTGAAAAAATTCAGTTAAATCGGATGACTGTTCAAAGAAGAATTACCGCATTAGCAGATAATATAGAAGAGCAATTAGCTACGAAATCGAGAAGTTTTGAGTATTTTTCTATAGCGCTCGACGAATCTACAGATATAAGTTCAACTGCTCAACTATTAATATTTTTACGAGGTGTAACGCAAAATTTTGAAGTGAGTGAAGAACTGATTGGTATGAGTTCTTTGACAAGTCAAACCAGGGGAAGTGACATGCTCAAAGCTCTTCTAGAAAAATGTTCTATAATGGATTTGGATTTAACGAAAATATCTGGAATTACAACTGACGGAGCACCTTCAATGGTTGGAAGTACATCTGGGATAGTAACTCTGTTAAAAACATATTTACAAACTAAAAACATAAATACCAAGGAATTAATGCAGTTTCATTGTATTATACATCAAGAGGCCCTCTGTTCAAAATTATTGGGATTTGAAAATGTTATGAAAGTTGTAGTACCTACCGTAAACTTTATAAAATCACGAGGTCTCAATCACCGACAATTCAAACAATTTCTCGAGGATATTGAAAGCGAATATGGTGATCTCCTGTTTTACACTGAAGTAAGGTGGCTAAGTCGTGGGTTGACACTACAGCGATTTCTTAACTTGATTGAAGAAATCCAACTATTTCTGGCGGAAAAGAAAAACGACGTCCCCGAACTCGACAACCCTGATTGGCTGTGTGACTTAGCGTTTCTTGTAGACATCACAAATCACTTGAATGTCTTAAATACGCGACTCCAAGGCAAAGATCAATTGATTTCGCAGCTATACTCTCATGTTTCGTCCTTTCAATGCAAATTGAGTCTTTTCAGGACACAAATCAATTCAGCCAATTACGGCCATTTTCCGAACTACAAAAAAATTATGGAGAAGTTCAATAAAACTGACGTCAATTTCGCTCATGTTGAAAAAATTGATATTTTGATACAAGCTTTTGAAAATCGTTTTGTAGACTTCAAAAAAGTTAAACCGCTATTGGACATTTTCAGCAATCCTTTCAACATTTCACCCGAAAATGCGCCGGAATTAATGCAGCTGGAATTAATAGACATGCAAAATGATGATAATTTAAGAAACAAATTTAATGAAGGTAATTTACTCAACTTCTACCGTTGCGTTGATAAAAACGCTTATAAAGAGTTGCGAATAAATGCATTGAAATGCGCAAGCTTATTTGGATCGACGTATATTTGTGAACAAACGTTTTCAGTGATGAAACTTAACAAAACGAAAAACCGAAACCGTCTGGCAAATGAAAATTTGGAAGCAATTATACGTGTGGCTACAAGTAATGTGGAGCCAAATATAAAAAAACTTGTTAGTTCAATGCAATGTCATGCATCAAAATAATAAAACATGAAATATTACATTGTAATGATTACATAATTATTACAACAAACATTTTTGAAGGTTATTTTATTTTTATCATTGTATTTCATACTATTTAAAAATAAAAAAAATTGTGTTAATAAATATTGTTTGTAGTGGCCCGTCCTTGGCTTATATTTTTCCCGAGTGGCCCCTGTTCCTTATAAGTCTGTGCATTGCTGCTTTAGACAAAACAAATTTATCATCGGGGATCCGACACTAGCGTAAGGCAGCTTTTCGTCAGAGAGCATTAGGGTGGTGGATTATAATAACTTTCTGGTATCATTGAGGTAGGTTGTACTGGGTGTTACATAACTTTACACGAAATGTGTTGAGTACTCTAAATTTTACCAAGTTACGAAATTCAAAATCGTAAAACAAAGATATTATAAAAAAACAAAGTAATGGTAGTGAATGAAATAAATAAATTGAAGTAGATAAAATTTTAAAACTATTTATTTCAACTCCCGAATTTGCAAAATGTTGGTTGGTTTTAACACAACGATTTTGACAGGTTGTACGGTCAGTAACAAAATTGATAAAAATATTTAAACATGGGCTAAGAGCGCATATTCATAGTACTATGATCGTGCGTTACATACGTTTTGAAGATATGGTCTAGTAGGTTTAAATAGTAGTAAAATAGTTAAATATAAACAAAAAAAACATTAATAAATATATTAGGCTTATCTGATTATCCGGGGAGTTAAATAAGATGTTGCTTCTTAGGTGGCAACAAGGGACTTGAAAACAGTATAGCGTCTATCCAGCCCTAGGTTTTGTTGACCAGTGTATATGGAGATCGCTGCGGGAAAACTGTGGCAGCTGATGATGGACGTAGCTTCAAGGCCAAAAAAAAATGTAATGAGAACGCCCTTATGGGCAACGGGGAGCCACTAATGAATAGTCCTCCAAAGCTGGAGCTGGACGGAATATCGGAGCTTATCAAACTTATCCTAAAATCCCTAAAATAGAACAATTACCTACATAAGTACTTTGAACTAAGAAATGCCTTTTAGTTGCAGCTCAACTTCTGTAGTAGGGTTTACATTGAGGTAACCAAAATTACTTTCAGATGTGAAGTAAATCTTGGAGCAAAACAAAACGAAATTTATCCTGGTTAAACTGCACAAAAAGATTGTCAGAAAAGCGTCTCGCAAAACTTTTAGTGAGAGACACATCGACGGTATACAGATAAGCACTGAAAAGGTGGTTTTTCAAATCCCATGAAAATGGAAAACTGTAAAATTAATTACGATCCACTTCACTTCACCAGAACCCGTCCGTCTCTACCAGCTAGATGTTATTTTCTCAGGAGACCTAGAGGATACTTTTTGTGGATCTAATTTCAATGATTTTTAGGAGTGGTGTGTTAGTTGTCTATCGTATCGAATACTTAAGACAATATTATTAATAGCAGCAACCAGGAAAACTCGATGTTGATAAAACAGAAGAGAATAAAACATAGAATATACCTATATGAAGAAGAAATACTAAATTAAAAGTAGCGTTGTTAGTAATTATACATACATTAATCCTAATTAACTAATAAATAAGAAAAGTAGCATTTCAAAATGCTAAAGTTGAACACGTTCGTCGGTAAAACTTGGACCATTTTAGTGGAAAACAATAGTTTTCAGTGACAGATGCCTAAAAACATTTTTTGACATGCCGTATAAACATAAAATATTACACTAGTTTTGTCATTATATCCAAAAATTTTTAATAGGTAACTATTGAAGTAAAAACAAAACAAAAAATATTTTTAAGTTTTACAATGTAGGTTGGTCATTATTCTCATCTTCTCATTTATTCGGAAACTTGTAGGGCATACTTTTTTATTTGGAATTTAACAAATACAATGGGTTAATTCAGCAATTTTTTTTATTTGCTTAACGGAAATATATTGTAATTTTAAGGTTCTCTGCAATAAACTAGAATTTTATATCGCCTACAAGTCATCCAAAAAAAAATCAAACTCGCGCACTGAGTATCCGCTGAACCGGTGGGAAAACGATACCGCATGCTTGCGTGTTGTCAATGTCAGTCAGTCGGGTAATCAGGTTTTGGTTGCCTGTTAAGTTTAGATTGAGTAGGTACATTAAGATACCGAATTTTGTTAGCAATATGGAAGACACAGAACAGAAAATAATTACAAATATTGTATTATTCCCCAGTGGGAGAGCACTAGTGTGAAGATACCTAAGAAAATAATAATAATGTCTCCATAATTCTGTCGTGCGGATCTAAAATCAATAGTCTATTAGTCTCTACTTTGATTTGTTTTGTTTAATATAGTCTCTAATTTGGTTTGTTTTTTTTTTAATGTTTTATTTGAATATAACTTATTTCGAAAGCAATAAAACTACCCTGCGTAATTTAGGCATGTAATAAATACGTTTGTATCCTCTCGAAACACTACACTTGTGTGTTTCCATTGTTGATCTTTTTGTGAATATTATACAAATACCTATAGGATAGGTACTAAGTACTTATATAATAAATATTACATTATTAATTACGAATAGGTAGATTTTATGTAGTTTCCATGGGAATAAAAATAGTAATGAGAATTTTGCATTTGATTAGGTAAATCTTTGAAACCTGTGGCAGAAACGATTTCGTCCAATTAAACGCAAAATCCTTATTCTTTACTATTCTTATTGTACAAAAACATCAAAACTTTAGCTACAAACGTACTTTATAGATGCTTTACACATTATTGAAGCGTACCACTTTTCTCATCTCAGCCCTGATAAAGTCGTGGTTTTTATTAAAAAAAATCATACCTAACCAAACAAAAGAATTTGCTTTTATGAAATTTGCTTCCATTTTTTAAATTTAATATGCACAAACGCTAAAATATTCTGCAGATGCAGAAACTCATCTGGAAGTAGCGTACGCTCGCACTGCTACGCCGGCTGACCGTCCCATGCGGTGACGTCATTGCATTGCCACGGCTAAGATAAATATTCGCATATTTAAAAATCATATATTGTGAAAACCACTCAATGGATTGAGTTGAAATTTTTAGGATCGCCTAATTATGAGCAATACTTTGTATATACAGAATAAAGAGCGTTTTTGAAAATTTACCAAATGGCCCCATTATTAGGAGCCGGCAGTTGGTTTAAAATTTATAACTAACTTAGAAATTTGACGACCAGCCATTTGGATTTTACTGATTTCAAGGTATATAACGATCCATCCATCCAATTTAGAAAAAAAATACCTACATACCTATCCTAAAAATAACACCTCTCTAACAAAATGTATTGTCTCTATGACACGAACTAATTCGCCAGCACTATACTACACTATAACAAGTTCAGTAAAAATTCGTAAAATCCAGGCTAAAGCCACACAAGAAAAGATGCTGCGTATTCCAACAGTACTAAATCACAAATGGGAAACATCTGTAACGTGATTATGCGCTATGAAACTACCTCAAATCATAAAGGACCGAAAAAATGTTCAGCAAAAACTTCAGATCTTACTAAAGAAAGGGTACCTATACTGTCCGTCTCCGTCTTTACTGCTTCTGGAAATGCACCCTTATGATATTATATGTATATTAGTTACCAGTATTTATTATTTAGGTCTCACCTGCTAGGGAAATTCCATTACATTTCTTATAACTTAAAATTTTAATATTTCCCTGATGGATACAATAGTATTTTATATAATATTTTATGCCTATACATATTATTCTCCAAATGCAATTAGTAAAAAGTTTTTATATATTTTAGTCAGTTATGCAGTGTTTTTTGAATTAATACGACCCGCCAAATTAAAAAAATAATTTAAGTTATATCATTTTTACCGAAAGTACAGTGTCTACTGCTCCGTGAATCCCTTGAAAACCTTGAAAACTCCTTGAATGGATTTAATCTACTTGAAATACTTGAAATCTCTTCGAATCGAACTAATGATCCTTGAAAAATTGTTTCGCAATCATTTTATTTAATTACAATTTTTAATGAATTAAATTATTTTTTCTCCTTCTGTTATGTTGAATCCGAAAATTGCTAAAATTCGGATTCAACTGGCTTTAGAAGTTTTAGTCGAGCATAACCACTTTGGTGAACTTATTACTGAAGAAATTGAAAAGGATTACCTTTGTAGAAAATGAAAGAATTATTAAAGTTTGATGAGAAAAAACATCAGCTAGATGATTTTTTTATGAAACTGTGTGCTGAGAAAAATATATCTGAAATTTTGTCCAATTTTTAAAACGAACATAGTATTTTTTTATGGAAATGCTGCTGTAAAACGCAGTTTTTCTTTCAACAAAGAATTCCTGGTTGAGAATCAACAAGAACAAAGTCATATATATCAAATATCTGTACATGATTTTATTATTGTTAATAATACCGGCGATGTAACAAATATTAAAATAACTAAACCAATGATTGCTGCTTTTAAATCCTCTTCTGCAAATCGAAAACAAGCTTTACAAGACAAAAGAGAAGATGAAAGTGCAGAAAAAAAAGAAAAAGAAAATTGATTGAAGAAGCAGCAGATTTAAATTTGAGAAAAAAAGAATTAGAAATGATAATAAGTGAAAATCAGAAAAATATAGTACAATATGACCAAAAAATTTAAGAGTTAGATAAACAATTAAAGAAATGATTCTTATTTTAGAAATGACTTAAAATATTTTAATTTTGTTTCATTTTTATAGTTCTCAAAACCAATTCAATATAATTTTGTAACGATTATTGTAATAAAATTTTTATTTCAGATATTGTATTGTTATTTTTGTTTAATAAATATAATTAAATTTCTTCAATATAATATAATTTCAATGTATGTTGTATGTGTAAAAATTATGATGATCAATTTTACTTCAATATCCCATATCATCACGTTTAAATTGTCAATTTTTCAGTCATATATTTTATCTTTAGAATTATAAAGTTTTACAGTCTTATTCTATCTTAATGCGATACTTAATAATTGCTCGTATGCGTTCGAGTTTAAATTTTTAAAGAGAATCAGAGAGATGGTCAGATAGATGGTTAACTTTTTTATCTGTCGTGAACGCGGAGCGCACCTTCATCTTCAAGTTAATAACTATATTTTGAGTAAAGAAAATGAAAAATTTCGAGTAAATTAACGTCGATTAGCTTTTACAAATAGAAAAGTGTTTACCCTAGAAAAATTTACCTCCTTGAAAATGAATTAAAATCAACCCTTGAACACCTTGAAAACTACTTGAATCCGAAAATAAAAATTTAGTAGACACTGCAAATAGGAGTTAATTTACATATCGGATTGTTAACGTGAAAATATAAACATTAGACTGTTGACTATACCTGTTATACGTTTTTTAAAGTCATTTTTGAAGGAATTTTAAAAATCATATTTCTGCTTTTATTATAAAGGAATGGAAATTATAAGACTGTCCGGGGTCCCATTTTGTTGACTCACGCTGGGCAATATTTTTTGTACAAAATCCCCTCCTTAATCATAAGTTGAATAAACTTATATTTTATTTGAAATTGAAAGAAACTTTTATTTCCTAGATTTGCTCATATGATTTCAAGTTATACAGGGTGTCTCATAATTAGCTGCCATCCCTGAATCGATTCCGATAAATTACTATGAAATTGACCAAAGTGGGATTAATTCAAGAGCGATTTTCTCAGAAACCGTTAAAGATAACGATTTGAAACAAGAGTACCTTTTTAACGTAAAACAGTTCGGGAAAACGGAATTTGCTGTCCAATTTGTTAAAAAGTCAAAGTTGAAAAAGTTACACACGCAAAGTACCAAGGGCCCCCCGTACCCACCCCAATGGACCTTGTGGAAATAAATGGATTAGTCCATCAAATTGCTCATCAAAATTTAGCTGTGTATACCAAATTTCATTCATTTATCACAACGCGATTGAGAGATATTGCAAAAAAATGATTTCCATTCCTCCCTCTTCAATGGGTTCCTGTGCCCTTAGGAAGCATTTCCGGACGCATGTTCATATGAACTTTTTACTTAGTTTTGATCATAGAATCGGTCTTTTCAGGGTTGGCAGCTAATTATGAGACACCCTGTATTAATTAGACACAAACACAATTTTTGTATTATTTTTATTAAGATTTTTATAAAATTATAATTTTGTCCTTATTTTAGAGCACTATGGCAAATGAAGCAAAACTTTCATATGAAGAGAAATATAATTATGTAGTAAGAAATCTTCAAGAAGTATTAGGAGAAGATAAGATTAAAATGATATTAAAAGCACGTGATTTGAAAATTTATTGGGGCACTGCAACAACAGGCAAACCACATATTGCTTACTTTGTACCAATGACCAAAATAGCTGACTTCTTAAAAGCTGATGCTGAGGTTACCATACTTTTTGCAGACTTACATGCATATTTAGATAATATGAAGGCTCCATGGAATTTACTAGATCTTAGGGTTCAGTATTATCAGCATATTATTAAAGCCATGTTGGAATCAATAGGAGTTCCATTGGAAAAATTAAAATTTGTAAAAGGCACCGATTATCAATTGTCAAAAGAATATACACTCGATGTGTACCGACTTAGTTCAGTTATTACTGAGCATGATGCAAAAAAGGCAGGTGCTGAAGTTGTTAAACAAGTGGACCACCCTTTAATTAGTGGACTATTATATCCAGGTATGTTGCAGTACAATTAAACGTTTTAAGTAGGTGAGTAAATTTCTACATCTCTGATAAATTTTTACTTGCAATACTCTGGGGTTTTCCTAGCTATCAAATAGCAACAATATGGCTCAAAGTACGTTAGAGATAAATTTTAAATTTTATATTTATAATAACATAACTATACCAAAATTGAAGGTATTCTTTAAAATATACATTCGGAGAACTATCATATAAGATTTAATCACACATAAGTAAATCATAAGTAATACTTTCTTAGGAGATTTTTAAATTTTTTTAAAATTTGTCTCATAGTGGACATCCCCTGGTATAGTCTTTCCGAAGTCAGTTGAACATGTATAAAAAACCGAGCAATCAAATTTAATGAGTTTCATAGGCGTCCCTAAAAAAGTTTTCTGCTAAAGGTAAAAAATTATAATAATTTGTATATAATGTGTAGAAAACTTCTATTATATGTTCATTTGAGCAACAACATATTTTAATTATTTATGTCCTCAAACAATTTTATTATATTGACGGTAAATTTCGTTTGTTCCGTCTCAAAAGGTCTCCAAAATGCCATGTTGTAATAATATTATTTCTCCCTTTCGCAATTGTAATATAAATGATTAATAGAAGGTGCCTATAAAAATTAAAATTAGCTAAATCACACCAAATTCTGTATTGCTGCACTACACTACACTGCTGGGCAATTTGTCAACCACTTGTCAAAAGCTGAGATTTATTGCCCAGTAGCCCAATACAGCTGTGTAGGATTTCGTTTGCCCGCGTTCGCATTCTTCAACTGGGTGTATACATTTCTACCACCTCCATGTGTATTCGACCAGACCTGTATAAGGGTACGGTAAAATAAATATGGGAACAAGTTTTTCAAATATTTCAATGCCGAGCTGCTGCGTCAGCGACCGAACCTGGTACATACCGTCAACGACTTAGTTCTTCAGTTGATATTTTAAAGACTATAGGTTATTGTACAATTATTATTGTAATTTGGAAATTTCTCAAAAGTGATATTTTATATTATCACATGTGTACAGGTGTGTGGTCACTTTTAAGATTGTACATCATTAGTAACTCCTGAACTTGAGGATTGACAAGGTTGGTTAAATTACAAAAAAACTTGCATACTTTAATGCATTACGAAAGGAAATTGAAGATAAGTACCTGAAATAAAAAACTGAAACTTTTTTTATTTCTTCCATATCTTTATTACTGACAGTAGAATAATTAAAATCAGTATATGCACATAAGGCAATATGCTCTATCTGTTGGAAAGTTAAAACATCTTCCAGGCCTCCTAAATCCTTATATTTGCATCATTAGATGAAACATGAAATTTCGAGTTCAACAATGTTGAAGGAATAAGAAAAGTCAAATTTATGATTTATTTAATTCGATCGCCATTAGAAAACAAGCTAAAATTTTGACATCTGTTTATAAGTAAACATTCTAATATTTACTGCTGTAAATAAATGCTCGAGTGTTTTCAGTATTTAGTTGTAATGGCCACAATATTCAATAAGTGAAACAGATAAATACAAATTATATAATATGGATTTGACATCATTTCATCATGAAATTGTAGTCTTTATTGGTTGCCTTTAATTTTGTTCAAAGAATTAATCGTTTTAGAGTTCAAATTTTTTTAACTGTAAAAGAGCTTAATGTACAGTTCAGTAAACAGAATACCTAAAACTTTCTTTTTTACAAAAACAGTTTACAGATTGTTTCTGTAAGGAATACAATTTCAAATAATACATACTATATCAAAAGGATACACGTGGCTTCTTCTTCCTAGCGGTTGGTCCTAATAAGTCCCATAGGACCGCGGCCTAATTAGGCCTATTGTGCATCCCACTACTAGTCCTATTCAGCAAGTAGTTTTGTCCTTTTGACAAAGTCCAAAAGCTTCCTTGCTGATACTTCTCTGTTCCTTGGGTTCCAAATAAGGTCTCCCCAGGAGCTCCATTATACTACGTGCAAATCCCAGGCACTCGCCCAGGATATACAGAGAAGTTTCATCCGCCGATTCACATTCTCGACAGACCGGACTGTCTACAAGCTTTAGCTTATGTAGATGTTTCCTAAAGTGGCAGTGTCCCGTTATGAGTCCTGTTACTCTTCTAAGCCGGATTTTATTCCAGCTCAGTAACTCGTTGGCTCTTTCCTTCGAAGGATACTCCATGAGCTCCTTAGAATGGCTATGTCCTGGCCTTGAAGTTCAGTATTTCCTGTGTTCTGTCTCAGTCCATTTGCCCAGAGCCCGCCTGACCACACTGGCAGATATGCCACAGAAGGGCTCCGGGCCAATGAACTCTGTCTCGGATCCCTTCCTAGCAAGTTCATCCGCTTTCTCGTTCCCGCAAATGCCTTACAGTCTAACTGTATTATTGGTGGCCAGTTCAGTCAGAATTTGTAAACAATCCCACACCAGTTTTGAACTTATCTTTTGTGCGCCTAAAGCTTTAATTGCAGCTTGACTATCAGAGAATATATATACAGGGTGATTCACAACTTATCCAAAAAAATTTGATAATAGATGCGGCATGAGAAATGGAGTTAATAACGTAAAAAATTTTTTGTAAAATCCTTATAGTTTCCGAGAAAAAATTATTGAAGTTATATATATATATTCAACCACTACACCACTACATAGCTGGACAACTGTAGTCTCTAGCGTCATTCGCAATACACGTGGAGAGCCATGTGACTCCTAATACTGAAATCCGTCGTTGCGGTAGTTTTTACCTGTTATCTGTG